TATAAAAGATATCTATTGGAGTTTATACGTAAATAAAACAACCCACAACAGTTGCTTCTTATTCTGGGAATTTTAGTGTTCGTTGTTGTCTTTCTTTTAATATCTAGACTTTTGGTTTTAGTAAATTTCAAGACTTTACGTTTAGTATTTTGTGTACTGGTTTATGTGATTGAAGTTCATTTAAGTCCACATTTGTTTTTTAGAGATAAGGTTTCTTACGAGTTAGTAGGAAAGCTTCTTAAAATTAATTGCCTTTTCAACAACAATTGCATCTACAATTTTTATTTTCCATGATTACTAGCATTGTTCTGAAGCTTTAACTTAGTATCAGTATCACCCAAAAAAATTTATTGATGTCAATAATCCTAATAATTTAATTGTAATCTAATTCTTATAAAAGGAAAAAAATTTAAATTTTGAGTTATATGACATATAAGTAGAATAAATTAAAGACTATATAAAAAATAATTACTTCTTATTATACAATTTAAGGTAAAAAAATAATTCACTCATGAATTGCTTAGAAATTTGGGAAGAACAAAAAGGGTTTGTCTGGGCGGTATAAAAACTTGCAGTGGAACTAAAAAATTACTAGAGTACTCTTGATGAATTATTAATTAAGTGTTAGTGCATAAATAAGGTTATTTACAAAAAGCAGTTTACAACTTCATCTTCGCCAAATCCAAATGCAAACAGTAACAGCTTTAGATTTCACCTAAGTCACAGAAATTGTAGATGAACAAGAACTAGATATATATTGTCTAATTAATCCAAGGATAGCTAGGAAGAAAAAGACACTTCATTCCGCTCAAACTCTCTTGAAGAATGATGAAATATTGCCCTGTTCGAGATATTGCAAGTTGATGCGAATTAAAAGGGAGGTTGGGGCGTCTTTCTCTCTAAGATGCTCAGCTAGTATCAGGACAAAAAGAAAGGTGCAAAATGACTATACAAAGGGATCAATAATTGAACCACAGCTGCATATTATAACATACAAAAGAAGTCATTTTTTGATGGACATAAAAAAAGAGTCTTAGTGGAAGACCATGCCATTAAAAGAAAAACCATGAAAATTACCATTCACCAACTAGAATTGGACACCCGACCTGAAATTCACGTCTCAAACATGAAAAGGTTGGGCCTCGGTTGTGGGCCATTGCGACAAAGAGACATATCTGGTTGTATGTGTATATTACATTATTACTTTGTTTTTACTGTTGGAGTTCATAACCTTTTTTCTATTTTTTTAAATTCATTGATGGATGGATAGAGTGTCACGCCCCAGAACCCAAATCCGGGGACACGACAGACGCCGTGCACTCGTGAGAGGATCCCACAAATGCACAAGGCTCGGAACTTATCATATCACAATCTGATACCACCAAATCTGAAGATCGAATCTTTAAAATTTACTCTGATATCATAAAATCTCCAAATACACTCTGGTTCACAGATCATAATTTATTTCTAAATCTATGTTCAATCTCGAAATGGCTAGCCTTCTATCACGTCACTCCCCTTGATTTTCGAGTCTTGGGGCACACTACTTGAAATGGTGGACGAGAAAAACGAGGTGAGATAACTCAGTAAGTAAAATATGGATAGCCCTTAATTAAACTTATAGCATGCCAACCAGTATAATCACGAAAAACAAGTACGAGTACGGAATCAAAATAAACATCTCCTCTATAGGTCATGGCCAGTGTTATAAACCTCCCACTGGCAAGCACACTATTTGCTGGTGTATAACCCCCACTAGCAGGGTCACTCAACAAACCGGTTCTATCAATAACATGTTGACATGTGCTAGCGTTTATAAACCTCCCACTAGCAGGCACACAAATAACATGACCATATCAGAGACAAAACAGGCAGAAGTTAACAGGAAAATCACAATTCACAATCACTTTCAGATCATCAGGACAATCACTTAAATTTCAAGTAGGCATGCTCAATTTAATGAAAAGCATAAAACATTTCACTTCAAATCAGTCATACTTATGTAAAACGGGTTTAGTCCCGCCATCAAACAAATCAAAATATACTTTTAAAAAGCTATACGAGCATTACCATAAATTTACTTACCTCACTCCGCAAAAACTGAGCACTCAATTCACGTACTAAACTGACAGAACGATCAAGAACCTAATCAAAATATCCACGAATTAATTACCGTACTATCACAAATTCAAACTGAAATCATCATTAGGATCACCCCTAATTACAATGCTATTTCTATCAATCTCCACATTATCAAATATCTCCAAATTTATTCTTATATCACAAACTAAACCTTTAAATCCCCGTTAATAGTTGACTCTCGGAGTGTGAACAGTGCCTATGAACGGCACCCGTGAACAGTGCCTATGAACAGTACCGTGAACAGTACTTCAACTTCCAAAATTGGCAAAACATAGCTAATTCACGGGATTTCACTCCAAAATCACAACAACCCAATTCAAGCTAATTTCCACTTAAATTAAACAAAAACCCACTTAAGCTACCAACTCCCGGGATAGAAAAATGGAGAAGATGGCTCGGCAAAAACCACACTCACACCCGGGATTTCTCACACAAAACATCACAGCAGCTAATTCAAGCTAAATTCTACATAATCAAGCTTGAAACACGTTTAAAATACTACCGGAATTCCTCCCCATTTCCGGCACAATTCGGACACACACAAAGCAGCAATTAAATGGCTAATTTAGGGCTCAAAGAAGTGGCCATCATACCAGAATTTTCCAGCAAGAACCGGAGCTAGCAGGGGAAGAAGAAGCCGGCGGCAAGCTGCAGGAAACTCACGGACTACCCAAAAAAATTGAGGGAAATAAACAGAAATTAGCATAAC